TTAGCAGAGGACTAAGAGTTCTTCTCTAGACATGTTGTATAGGGGTCCCTAAGGGATTATTGCTAGTTTGCTGTCCTGCTTAATAAGCTTAATAGCATAGTTAATATCTGCTCCTCTGTGTAGAGCTAGTTTGTCTACTTCTTCCTTTATAAATGTCTAGAACTCCTCCTTTAGGTAGTTAGGGAGGAGGGCATAAGGGTCCCTAGAGGCCTTTTCTTTTAAGGCTTTCTATATATCTACTAACGTAAACCCCCAGCACCCAGGCCAACCCAGCACCCGGTCCATTTCTTGCCAAGACTACAACTATTAATATTAACACGTAATGCCTTACTAACAAGATATATAATTATCTAAATAAGAGGGTAGAATTAATCTTACCCTTTCTACTTTCTAATTATATAAATTTAAAAGCCTCTAAAGCGCTGCTTAGGCATTTAACGTACTACATATAACCTTAAGTGCTAGGTATAGAGGCAGACTCTATATTAACAATAGACGTAATGCACAATATAAGCTTACGCGCACTAAAGAGCAAACAATTGTATAATACATTCTTGACCTTAATTCGCGAGGATTCGCGCCCTGGCTGTGCAAGGTGGCAGATATGGCTAACAAACTGTTGGGTGTACGCGGTGGGCAGCCTGTTAGCAAGCACTAGGCTGAGCGCTTTGTAACGCGTTCAGCTACGCTCAAGATGGCCTTTAATCAAGCTAAAGATAGGCAGAGGATGCTGCAGGAGGATCTAGAGACAATTAGCGCGTGGTTTAAGCTAGTAGAGGATACAAAAGCTAAATACAGTGTACACAACTACAATGTGTACAACTTTAATAAGACTAGCTTCTAGATAAGTGTTATTAGCTTAATAAAGGTTGTTATAGGCGTAGAGAGACGTAATTAACCTTAGCTTGTTTAGCCAGGTGATTGCAAGTAGGTAATAGTTATCTAGAGCGTCTGCGCTGCTAGATCTTGTACCCTACCTTTTATTATCTACAAAGGACGCGTTCACATCTCTGCCTAGTACGAGGAGGCAGATATACCACGCAATTAGAAGCTCTCTGTCTCCGAGAGCGGCTGGACAAACAACGCGCTCGGCCTTGAGTGGCTGAAGCACTTCGACGCGCATACAAAGGCAAGCCAGGTGGGGGCGTACAGGCTGCTTATTTTAGACGGCTATAAGAGCCACCTTAACTAGGATTTTAAGGACTACTGCCTTAAAAATATAATCCTTACCCTCTGCATACTACCTTACTTATCACACATCCTCTAGCTGCTTAATGTAGTCTGCTTCTTGCTATTAAAGCGCAAGTACTCTTAGTGTGTACAAGACTTAGCACGCAAGTGCGTCTTCTATATTAATAAAGAAGGCTTCCTCCCTGCCTTTAAGGATGTGTTTTTTAATGTGTTTACAGCAGAGAACTGTTGCAAGGCCTTTAAGGCAGCAGGGCTAGTCCCTCTTAACACCTAGGTTGTGTTAGATTACCTTAAAGTGCGCCTGCGTACCCTGCTAGAACCCCTCCTCCTAGAGACGCTGTGGCAGTTAAAGACTCTAAGCAATACCTACAAGTTTAGATCTTAGTTAAAGCTTGTACACAAGTCTTTTACTTAGTTGCCTATTACTGCGCAAGCAGGCTTCTCTTAGCTTGTTAGAGGTGGCAAGCTTATGCTGCATCAGAACGCGCTTTAAGCAGCCCAGATTACTAAGCTTAAAGAGCAATTAGTAGTAATAACTAAGCAGAAATCGCGCAAAAGGAAGCAGATCTAGCAAGGTAGTACTATGGAGTATGGTGAGGCAGCAGCTCAGGTGGCCACAGAGGCCTCTGTAGCCGCTGAGCGGTCAAAGAAGGCTTATAGTAGTAGTAATCAAGAACAAGCTTAACTAGCTCTACAGCGCTGTAGAAACTGTAGAGGGACTAGACACAACGCGCGAACGTGCAAAAAAGATATAGAGGCATATTCTAAATTAGATACAAGCATAGTGTACGCAGGCTCTATGTTAAATAGCGATGAAATTGAAGAGTTGTAACGTGAGTTGGTACTGCCAAGCTTTTTTGGCCCAGGTGCTGGGTTGGCCCGGGTGCTGGGGGTTTACGTTATAGAAGTAGAGAAGATTTCTATTAAAAAATCTTTCTTTAACTACTTTTATAGTGCCCTGTACAGCTCTAGGCTAACCTACTATAGTACTAGCTCTAGTCTAATACCTTCTTTACTCTGCACCCTTATTATAGACAAGTAGATAAATAGTAACTTCTTAGCTAGCGCTAGGGTTACTTTATACTTATCTATCTACAGGCAGCCTAAGATTAGGTTGTATTTATATTCTCCTTTAAGGACATATATAAATATTTATTTAATATAACGTATTCCACCACCTAACAGCTCAAACCACCCAACAGCTTAAAATGTCTTGGCACAACGAACACCCTCTTTGTTGCAACATGCCTTAACCATATAACATGTTACTACATGGACACAAAGGTAGAGTTAACCTTGCCCTTAAAGCTCTTTATTTAAAATAATTTAAAACCTAGAGAGCAGCTGCGCGCGCTTTTAATGTTAAACAATACATTCTCTCTACACGCGTTAGAGGAGCCCTATTTATTCTTAAACAAGCACCTAATAGCTGCAAACTTACGCTTATAGAAGAGCAAACAATTGTCTAATATATCCTTAACCTAGATTTGCAAGGATTCGCGCCCTAGCTGTGCGAGGTAGCAGATATGGCTGATAAAGTGTTGGGTGTACGCGGTGGGCAGCTGGTTGGCAAGCACTAGGCTGAGCGCTTTGTAACGCGCTCAGCTGAGCTTAAGATGGCCTTCAATCGAGGTAAAGATAGGCAGAGGATACTGCAGGAGGATCCAGAGACAATTGGCGCGTGGTTTAAGCTGGTAGAGGACACTAGAGCCAAGTACAGCGTACACGACTACAACATGCACAACTTTAACAAGACTAGCTTCTAGATAGGTATTATTAGCTTAATAAAGGTTGTTATAGGCGCAGAGAGGCGTACTTAGCCTAAGCTTGTTCAGCTAGGTAATCGCGAGTAGGTAACAGTTATCTAGAGCGTCTGCGCTGCTAGATCTTGTACCCTACCTTTTATTATCTACAAAGGACGCGTTCACATCTCTGCCTAGTACAAGGAGGCAGATATACTGCGCAATTAGAAGCTCTTAGTCTCTCAGAACAGCTAGACAAACAATGCGCTTAGTCTAGAGTAGGTGAAGCACTTTAATGCGCATACAAAGGCGGGCCAGGTAGGGGCGTACAGGCTGCTTATTTTAGACAGCTATAAGAGCCACCTTAACTAGGATTTTAAGGACTACTGCCTTAAACATAAGATCCTTACCCTCTGTATACTACCTTACTTATTACATATCCTCTAGCTGCTTAATATAGTCTGCTTCTTACTATTAAAGTACAAGTACTCTTAGCGTGTATAAGACTTAGCACGCAAGCGCATCTTCTATATTAACAAAGAAGGCTTCCTACTAGCCTTTAAAGACGCGTTTTGTAACGTATTTACAGAGGTAATCTATTACAAGGCCTTTAAGGTATTAGGACTTGTCCCTCTTAATGCGCAGGTTGTATTAGATTACCTTAAAGTGTGGCTGCGTACCCTGCTAGAACCCCTCCTCCTAGAGATGCTGTAGTAGTTAAAGACTCTAAGCAATATATATAAGTTTAGATTACAATTAAAGCTTGTACACAAGTCCTTTACTTGTTCTCCTATTACTGCGCAGGCAGGCTTCTCTTAGCTTATTAGAGGTGGCAAGCTTATACTGTATCAGAACGCGCTTTAAGCAGCCTGGATTACTAAGCTTAAAGAGCAATTAGCAGTGATGACTAAAAGGAAATCGCGCAAAAGGAAGCGGATCCAGCATGGCGGCACAATGGAGTATGGTGAGGCAGCAGCCCAGGTGGCCGCAGAGGCCTCTATAGCCGCTGAGCGGTCGAAGAAGGCTTGTTGTGGTGGTGATCAAGAGAGAGCCTAACCAGCTTTACGGCGCTGTAGGAACTGCGGCAAGACTAGGCACAACGCGCGAACGTGTAAAAAGGATGTAGAGGAGACTTCTAAATTAGAGGTTAGTACAGCGTACACAGGCTCCTTGTATAATAGCAATGAAAATAGAAATTTATAACTAGTGTTAGTTGTGCCAAGACATTTTAAGCTGTTGGGTGGTTTGAGCTGTTGGGTGGTGGAATACGTTAGCTATTAATATTAATCCTTATCCTAACTACTTTCTTTAGCTAGGTTATCTTACTAGCTATACTAATAACTTATTTCCTTCATTGGGAAAAGTTTTTCGAAATCCGGCCTAGAACGGCTGTTGCTGACAGTTGTGGCATGGTCGTGCAACGGCTGTTCAACGGCCCTAACAGCCCTAATTTGCGCCTAACAGCCCTAATTTCGCGCTAACGTTGCTAACAGCCAAAACGCTAAGTGCCTATATTTAATAAACTTAAAACAATGTTACAATGTCATTGCATGGCTACCCTTAGTGCTAGCACTAGCATTAAATATTTAAAAATTGCGAAATTTCACGTACAGATAGAGCGAAATTGTAGCTTTAAAATAAGTAAAAAATTATTATTGTAGGCCTACTACAACGTAAGTTATAGAGCGTTGAAGGTTTGTTTGTTGAAGGTTTGTGTTTTGAAGTTGCGACAGCACACTATGGCAGCTGCAGCTGCGCCCGCACACAACATAGCAGCTGCAACAGCATACAGCATAGCACCTGCTGACCAACACACACACACATACACACACACAGCGGCAGCGCAACAGGAGCTTGCAGAACAGGCAGGCCTGGGCGTAAAATTCATAGTTTACCTACTATTCTTGAATAATATTCTTATATTTTCTAACATTCAGGCTGCTAGAGCCCTAGCAAAGAATCTTAATTTAGTGTCTTAGCAAGGAACATTAAGCTTAAAACCTTCTACGCTTAATAACTATTCTATTACTAGGCCTATAATATTGTTTAATAGCTTATTTTAAAGAGGATACTTAGTAGTATATTAATATAATAAAAGTATAGTTTATTAAGCAGAGCTACTATTATAGCAGGATTAGGAGTTGTTGTGGCTATTGCAGCTGTTAGGACTATTAGAGCTGTTAGCTTAAAATTAGCTAGACATTAAATACACATTAAATAGCTATTGTAGGCCTACAAGTCCTACTGTTGCCTATAGTACAATGCCACGATTTCCTGATTTCGACAACAGAAAAACTTTTCCTGATGTTAGTATAGAGAAATGCCTAAGGTTGTTTTATATTACAAAGCTTAAAGAGATAATTCTATAAGTTAAGTACCTAGTATTAATTAGTATGTGTACTATAGTCTTATTATCTATTAAAATGTGTAACAAGATAGGTTTACTATCTAGCTATTACTAATAGAACTACTAGAATAACTTGCTATCCTAGTTAACCTTACTAATTAACCCCTGTCTGTAACTTAGGACAGGAGGTTCTAGTTTTCTAAATTAGAATTATTTAAGTCTAAGTATTCTTCTACACTATTTGTTGTGGCAGCTGCGCTAACATATACAGTACCTGGTCGTCTAGCTAGGGCTAGCTTGCATTAGTTAACGTAGTGACTATCTCTGCCACACCAGAGGCACTAGTTGTTAGCCCTTTGCCTGTTAAGGACCTCTTATAGTTTCTATTTAGCTTGTTTGTGTTTGTTGTTATTGTTATTATTGTCTACACACACAGTATAGACTTTTATAGGTTCCTAGTCTATCTTATTATTATCCTTCCTTCTAGGTTATTATCTAAATAATATATTATAGGTATAAGTCTTAACTTATCTTAGGTTAGTCTCTACTTTTAAGACTTATGCTATAAGGGTCTAAAGTTCCTATTTTTTAAGAACTTCTATAGATACTATTGTATTCTAAAGGTTACTATAGATAGTAGATATATATATTATCTTAAGGTTCTATTTATTTTCTTCTTCTCTAGTATTAAAGGCTAGCTAGATAAACTCTATATTAAAGGCTTTAAGGCTTTATCTATTTTTCTTTATTATAATTATCTATAGCTTCTAATAAGATCTTTCTTTAAACTAGGTGTCTTAGTATTATTTATTAAGAAAGCTCTAGAATTCTATAGTTAATCCTAATAGGTAGTAGGATTTCTAGGATAGACTAACCTAGGTAGCTTGCCCTTCTAATTAGTTAAATATATATACTACACCTAGGATTAATTAATATTCTCCTATAGAAGTAAGCTTATCTATTATCTAGGACTTAAATATCTAATAGAGCTAGTAGTTACTATTAAACTTCTCTATATTAGGAAGCTTAAGCTTTGTAAAGCCTAACTAGGTTATAGTAGTAGCTATTATTAGGGTAGGAGAGATATTAGCTGTTGCTAGTCTCTACTATTCCTTGTCCTTATATACCTATATGCCTACTTAGATAGCCTGTTGTATATATTTATTTGTTATATTAACTATTAGTTAGGATTACTAAGGTGTTTGTAGAGGGTTTAGAGGTCTAGTTGTTAGCTGTTTAACCTCTAGCAACCTAACTATATCTTCAGGCAGGGTGGCCTAGGCTACGTGAGTGGCTAACAGAGTTAGAGCGTGTTTGTAAATAGTCTCTAGCTATTCCGCAGGTGCTAGAGTGCTTATGTGGTGTTGTAATTCTGTGTAAACGTCTAATTAGGAGTTAGTACTTAAGTAGAGTTTAATTCTATATTTAATAAGGCGCCCTATAACAGTGTTAGTGTTTTTACTTATTATAAGTAGTTCCTTGCAGATGCTTAATAAATAAATAAATAAAGAGGATAAACAAATCTAAATATAAGGAGCTAACCTCTATAGGCTAACGTACTCCACAAGCGAGCTGGCCACCCAAGCGAGCTGGCCACTTTTGCCAAGACCACACCAATACTGCACCTACTTTGCAACATTACAGCACACAACTATAATATATTATACTACACAGTATACTAAACTAGTCTGTAGTAACGTACTCCACAAGCATGCCGGTCACCCAAGTGTACCGGTCACTTTTGCCAAGACCACACCAACACTATAACTACTTTGCAGTACCTTAGTACACAGCAGCATTCTACTATGCTACACAGTATATTGTACTAATCTATAGTACTTTACGCATCTTTCTTACAAGTTGTTCTATTGTGCCCTGTCTTACCACATGTGCCACAGCGCCTTAAAGACTAAGTGCTCCTATCAACGCGTAACCTCTTCTTTGCCTTCTTCCCATCACTACAGGCCTTAAACTCCTTTAGAGTAGTTAGCTGCACTCCCTTAGCAAAGGTTAGAGTCCCTTCTTGCTGTACTTGCTTCCTTTTGTGTGATTTACAACGTGTAGCAGCCTTGTTGGCTGCCTGTAGGTCAGCAACCTAGTTGCGCACTAAAACTAGTGAATGTGCTATTAGCTCTGCGCCTTTAGTGAGCTAATTAAGAGTGTTAACTATAGACGTTGGCAAGCTATTAGCGTGTCTCTAAATCCTCTCTTAAATTAGCTTTAATTAAGACCTAAATTCTAGGGTGTTGCTTAGTGTTTTAGACTCCCACATACTGTTGTCCACAGTAGGTGGCGTTAGTGTGCGCAGCTGTACTTTAAGCTTTAATAGCACAGCCTCTAGGTTAAGTAGGACTAGGCTAGCACCTCTAAATCCTCCCTAGATGTTACTCTCTGTAATTGAGGCGTCAAAAGCTGCTTTAAAGCATAGCAAGAACTCAAGTTTAGTGATACGCGTAATCTTGCTGCGCATTAGCCGCTTAGCTTGGCGGCCATAGGCCTTCTTTAACAGAGAAAAACAGCCTATGTCAAGTGGCTGTAGTAGGAGCAACAAGTGTGGAGGCATACACAGGGTAATAATCTTGTGTTCCTCGCAGTACTGGTGGAATTCGACTAAGTTGTGGCTCTCGTGGCCGTCCAGAATAAGCAGCTGATAGCTGCCAATAGTGCGCGCCTTTGTGTGCTTATCAAAGTGCTTCAACCACTTGACTCTAAGCTTGTTGTTAGTCCAGCCGTTGTTAGAGACATTAAGAACCTAGTTGTTAGGTATACTAGGCTCCTTGTACTAGGCAGAGAGGTAGTGCTTGCTAGAGAAGATAATGAAGGGTGGGATAGACTAGCCCTTCGCGCAGATGCCTTAGATGATGCTAGTCCACTCTTAGTCACCCTGCTGCACTGTCTTTAGTCTCCCTTAACGCTTAGAGCCTGTAACAACAGCTCCTGTTAATATAACGCCTATTATAAAGCTAGATTTATTAAAGTTGTAGGTGTCTTTATCTTATATACTATACTTAGCTTTAGTATTCTCTACTAGTTAGAACTAGTCCCTAATTACCTTAGGATCCTTACACAGAGCTCTCTTATAGTTATACTTGTGATTAAATTTAACTTTGAGCTCTAGCCGACGTTTTACAAAGTTGGCAGCCTAGTTCTTGCCAACGTAGGGCTAGTGGCGCTCAGCAAGCAGAGAATTGGCCATATCCTCTACATCAGCAAGCCGGGGCGAGTATCCTCGCTTGTCTAGCCTCAACACGTGCTGGACAATTACCTCCTCTTTGTTCTTTGTAAGATTTATAGTATTAGGTGTGTAGTCGCAGCGTGGGGTGGCTCTAGCAAGTCGGTCACTAAGCGTGCTTTGAGAGACGTTGTAGATTGCTGCAGCGCGTCGCTGAGAGAGCGTCGCGTCTTGTT